TCTCATAATTCCAACCAAAGTAAGATTATTCTGAAGCAAAAAATTAGCTAAATGTTACGAGGTAAACCAGTTGTCTACAGTTATATTGCGAGCTGTTCCTGAGATTACAGAAGTCATCCGTTTCAAATCCGTGGTTTGTTGCTAATTCCCAATGGACCTGCAGGCTGCTTGCCAACATATATTTCTAGGTTTACAGTGTAGTACATCCTAGCATCTACTAATGGAAATAATTTTATCCTATACTTTATTTGGTTTACTAGGGATGTACTGCCTGAAGAAAAATTTACCGCTAAAGGTATCTAATCTTTCGTCAACTGTACAATATTCTCCAACTGAATAAGCATTCTCACAGTTTTCCACAAATGAAGAAAACACGTCACGTATAGGCGCTAAATTGTTAGTTTAGTTCCTTATCTCTCGAACTCTGTCGCTATTGTCGAACCTCAAACAATATGAAAGGAACCTAAATCGTTTTTCAGACATTATTAGATTGCATAGCTCAATACCCATTTTATCAGAGGACCATATCTCCTTGGTATTTGCATGATTGTCCTTTCTAGAAGCACAAATGTGTAATACGCGTAGAAGCGCTGTTATTTCAATTAAGTCGGTCAAATGGGCATCCCTTTTCCGAGAATGATTGTTCTGTACTATGGGCATCTTTTCATTTGTGAACTTAACTATATTAGATAGCATGCTATTGTCGAAAAAACATGCCCAACATTGCTCCGGCTTTCGAGCACTTTTTGTGACACCTTTCAGCCCTGGCAAATGAGTAACAATATTATGTCGCCGAGTGCGTATATTTTTGTATTTTTAGGTGGGGAAACTTTTGATCATTTTGATGATTTATTCCGTCCTAGGAAATAATTATCGGCAATATAATCATCACTATCGCTATCACTGGAGTATTTCTTGTTTGGTGTGTCTGGTGTCTGTGTTTTCTTCTTTTGTTTCCCCTTTATCTACTTCTGCATCACTATAATCATCAAACCCATCACCTGATTCATCTTATTACATCAGCATACGTAGTACTATTTCTCTGTCACCTTCATTTGCCATATTGAATATTTTCTGAGAAGATATCTTGACTCTAAAGGTGAGGAAATAAATAATAAAAACAAATGTTACCCATAAAAATTATAAATACCAGATTAATTATTTAATTATAAATACCAGATTAATTATTTAATTATAAATACCAGAAGAAATACATTATTTTACATTTAGAATTAAATATATTCACAAACAATTTCTTTCACCTATCACTTAAATGAAAAAAAACACTACTAGGGACAGCTGTTGATAATATAAATTAAAAATACTAGAATTTATAAATTTTAAAATACTTACCTTTAGAATCAAAAACGGTCTCGTGGTGTCTACTAAACTCCAGCAGTGCACAATCTCTTGTAACCTCTTCCTCTCAGCAATAAAATGAAAATAGCATTGTTTCGATGATTTCTGCTTATTTGTGTATATTTGACGGAAAGGTAAACGACAGCATAAGCTTACTTGCGCATTCGTTTATAAAGCAATTAAAAACAAAATATCCCTGGCATCTGTGAGACGCCGCGCGAGCAGTGCAGGGTTCAATTTCAGTTAATCTCTCGAATACATCAATCGAACCATTGAAATATCATTGGTTCGAATCACAACAAGAGCAGTTTTGAATCATCGCTTTTTCCAGCTGTGAAAATCCAGTGGTCTTTGGAAATGTAATATTGTAACATAAAACTGTCTAAATATATGTATGTTTCTAAATCGGTTTATTTTTTATGTCCATTAGGCACCTCAGCGATTATTCTTCGAAGATTTGTTTCTCGTTTAGAAAATTAACTTTGTCTGAGTCTCTTTGCCTCCGTTTTTCTCTGTATTATATAGATTTAATACATATCTGAGTGTGCATCACTAAGAATCACATGTGTACTTGGGGGTTCTAGGAAAGAAGCCCACGGGATTAATGCTCACAAAATAATGCTCATAGGTATAAATGCTCACAGGAAAAAACCCCACACAGAAAAATGCCCACATAGAATGCACTCGCATGGAAAAATGCTAACTTAGAAATATGCTCACACGGAAAAAAGCTCGAATCAATAATTAATCTATTTGAGCATCGTGCATCTACTTGAATTTTCTGAAGAAAAATTATTGAAATTACCAAAACATCTATGGTATATATATTTCAAAAACTTTATAACTTATGTGTAGATTCAGTTGCTACATAAGATTAACAAATGGGCCGTTTTGAATTAAGAAAAGGAGAGGAGAAAGGAAGTAAGTATGAAACAGAATTATACAAAGACAAATTATTACAATTTTAATCGTTATAAAAATAAAAAATAATAAATATAAGTTACATATTTTATAATATAAACATTTAGAAGAATAATGAATAATGAATGAGAATTTAGAATGATTATTTTATTTAAATTACTTAAAATATGTAATTTCATCATCGATTTCATCATAGTTTCTTACATGATTTACGATTATCAAATGTAAGTTTTCATGTTTTCTTTTTTTTTTACTTCAGTACATCCTGTATTTACATTGGATAATGACAAACGTTGAGAGGCTAAATCTTTTTTCAGTCCGCCAAATAAAAACCACATACTGGTATGGCTATAATTAAGTAATGAATTTAGTGCGCTATGAAAGGCTTCGCAACAAATTGTGGTTTTACTAGAAGATATTTCGAAGGCTGCTTCATCATGTTCAACTGAGGGGCATCATCAAAGTACCTAAAAATGTTAATTTTATTTCTAAAATTTTAAATTTCTGCAGAAATGTTACAACTTTTTTTTGGCTCTAAACTCGAATAACTACATTCAAACATAAATTTCTATCGATACACATCAAAAGTATGCAAAAATGGAGTAAAGAAACAAAAATTAATTATTAGCAGTTACAGGAAAAAAAATGTCTTACAGGGGCAGTGGTATAAAATATTACAGTACATGCAAACTTTTACTACAGTTTTCATGCTTTTATTTACCGATCCTGAAAAGGTTAATGTGAACATTTGTCCATGTGAACATATTTCATGTGAGCATATTTCTAAGTGAGCATTTTTTCCATGTGAATTTTTTTCTATGTGGACATATATTTCTTTGTGGGCTTTTTTCCTATGAGCTTTTATACCTGTGAGCATTATTCTGCGAGCATTTCTCCTGTGGGCTTTTTTACTGTGGGCATTTTTCCGGTCACCGTACTCAGGATCGAATTTGTTATTCGGAATCTGGAATATTCAGATATTTTAAATCTTCAAGCTTGAAGCTTTGTTTGAATGCGTTGGCTTTGGTTAACAAATTTCATTAATTCTGTGAATTTCGCTCTCAATATTTGCAGTTTATGTGCTTTACGACTATACCATGACAATACTTGTTATATGTAACTTTTGCTACATACCACACAATTATGCTTTGGTGTTAACAATAATTTTGTATATTATGATATATCATATTACACAAAATTATTATACCATGACAACACTTGTTATATGTCACTTTTGCTACATACCACACAGTGGATACACTTTGGTGTTAACAATAATTTTGTGTAATATGATAAGTCATATTACAAAAAATTATTGTTAACACCAAAGCATATGCATTGTAATGCATGTAACATGATAATTCAATATATCAATTCAAGTATAGTCAGGATGAGACTGTTGAAACTTTTGATCTTATGTTATACAGGTTACAGCCGAAAACATAGCGGCAAAAACATCGCGGACGAAAACGTCGCAGAGTAGAAAACATCGTCGTCGAAAATAAAGCAGTTCAAAAACTTCGCAGTTTAAAAACATCGTCGTCGAAAATATCGTGGTAAAAAATAAAGCAAATCATCGCATGACGATAACATCGCAGACATGCTTTTTTCAGGCTTTAATAACTGTAAATAGATATTCCCATAATAATTTGTGAGCGCAAAATGTAAAGAAGGATAATTTTTACTTTCACATTTTTTTTTATTAACTAATAAATTTTTTGCTGAAAAAGTAAGAAGGAAACTTAAGCATAGAAAGTTAAATGCAACTTATAGATTATACTTTTTATGAAAAATTACTAGTAAAAACTTTATAAAAAATTATTTATTAAGTGTCTTTGTTAGTTAACTATGTCGGTTTAAAATTCTATTAAGTGCTATAAGTTGCATTAATTTTCTGTGCTTAAGTTTCCTTCTTATTTTCTTAGCAAAAATTTATTAGTTAATATAAAATATGAAAAACAAATTATCCTTCTTTCCCTCTTGCGCTCACAAATTATTATGGGAATATCTATTTACAGTTATTAAAGTCTGAAAAAAAGCATGTCTGCGATGTTATAGTCACGCGATGATTTGTAGATACTTTATTTTTTACCACGATATTTTTGAAAACGATGTTTTTAAACTGCGAAGTTTTTGAACCGCTTTATTTTCGACGACGATGTTTGGTACTACGATGTTTTAGAACTGCGATGTTTTTTTCTTTGCGATGTTTTCTCCCACGATGTTTTGTAGCACGACGTTTTCGCCTTGCGTTTTTTTCTCTGCGATGTTTTCGACCGCGATGTTTTTGTTATCGGCGGACACCGTTATACATAAGACTACCAAAAATTTTGGTATAAAATTTTTATTGACATTGATGTGTATTTAATCATTCATTGGAAAATATTTGAATTTTTCCTATAGTTTAATAACTTTTAATGTTTGTAAAATTTATATTACATTTTAATATTTTTAGGACATAAGTTCAAAATATGGCAATTAAAATATTAGCTTTAGAGGTATGGTCTTAAACGAAACTATAAACTAAATGAATTTGATTATGGGAATACGTTGCCAGTTCGCCTTTTCACGGGCTTATGTAAGTGCCCTTAAAATTTGGTTACGTTAATACAGGGCAAGTTCGCCTTTTTAAGAGCTTATGTAAGTGTGGTATTTAGCATTACAGACATTAAAAAAGAGACAGCATGTGTATCACTTATTTTTTTTTTTATTTCCCGCCGTTTCGAATAGACTTATAAAAATTTGAAGAAATTGTGCTAAAGAAAATTCAGGAACAATAGCTATAACTGCAACATCAGGTACTCAGAATCAAAAATCCAGAGTTAATTTCAATCCATCTTTAGAATTAATGTCTTTTAAAAAATGTAGTGTCCCAGTCCATGGTGTCCAACAACAGTATTGTAACTGTATGCTCCCAAAGGATGTCCAGCAGCAACATGGACGGCAGCAGGAGCGGCAGCATAGGCCATTGCAGGTGCAGCAATGATACCAGCCTTGTTAATAGCAGTATTAGCGGGATCCTTGGGCTTAACGCCTGGTTCATTAGTCTTGATATCAGCACGGAATCCTGCGGCATCAGCCACGTAGTTAGCAACACGTTGTCTTCCATCAGCTACAGCTAATCCGTAAGATCCGGCAACGACTCCATGTGATCCGGTTTCCTTGCGGAATGAGCCACCAGAGGCATGGCCTTCATTGTATCCAAAAGCATAGTTGCCAACAGCCTGTAAAAATATGGAGAAAAAATGTAATACTTATTTTTATCAATAAAAATGCGATATTATTACAAGTTGTTCGATCAGTGAGACAGAAATTGAGTTCATCATAATACATTCTGTGATCCTGCTAAAATTATTGCATACACTTTCTCAACGAAACACTGAAATTAATTCTTTTAATTTGATGATTCTGAAACTGTATTAACTACAGATTTTTATGACTATATAGCTGTTAGGAGCAGCATTTAATTTACTATGAAACAAGCACTGGTATAATGTTGGAAATATTAAGAATAATTTCTTACATCTTGGCTTCTAAATTGAGCACTGGCACCAGTTCCAATGAGTCCCGGGTGCATGAGGACAGCTGCTTGAGATGCAGCAACAAGGGCAAAGAAAACGAGGACCTGCAAAATAAAATTTCACTGTGAGAAAAACGAATGGAATTTTCTATTGCATTCTTAATTTTTTAAAGTACTCAAAAGAATGAATATTTCTTTCATAGAAATTTCACATTAACCGTAATATGTTACGGAATGAATATTTCTTTTAAAGAAATTTCACAATAAGCATAATACTTCATTTCAAAATTTAGCAAAATATAGATGTATGGAAACTGATTTTAAACGTTTTGGTTGATTAGGAAAAGCACTAAAGGGGGTGCAAAGGGATTCATGACTTCGTGGGAGACTTTCATAAAGAAGTAGGCTAACATCTTATAAGGTATTTCTCCCACTTTCCTAGCGTGCCTTCGTGGTGTAGCGGCCCTGCACGCTGGGATGGTATTCCAGAGGTCCGTGGTTCGATTCCCGGCCAAGGTGGTTGCTAATGTTTCATCTCTCCTGCCTCCAAAATAATCCTAATGTCTCTACAGTCTAAACTGTATAAAGAGATATTCTAAAGCTATTAAGGGCCAACGTCCTCAATAGCTAGTCATGAAATCCGGTTCGTACTAATTATAAGCTACTAATTTTTTTAACTATGAATCTAAAAAAAATTTCAGTGCACCATCTGCGCTAATTAATCATTATTAGAAACTTGCTTTTCTTAAAAATGTTCCTATGTAACTTTTTTGTAACAAATTTGTGGCGTAAAACTTAATGTAAAAGAACTATTATAGGATAAAATTCAATATCTTAAATTTTTTCTCATATCGATTATTTAAGGCATGTTATCGATTATTGTAATCTTTTAGAAAAACTTTCTAAAAATTCAAAAGGAAAATTTACCTATACATTGTAAAATAATTTTTATTTAAGAGAGGAAACTAAAATCTCACAGAAATTTTTAGAAAAACATTGCCTTGGTTATTTTCTAAAAACGAAAGTGGGCATTTATAATAAAATGCTGAGTACTATCCATTATTTAGAGTTACTACATGGTGAAATGAATTTGAACCCTCGCAAGACTATTTTATGAGAATATATTGTTTCAAATCGTAGAAACTTTATAAGCGATTCTCGCATCTTCCGTGCATGTTCCGGTAGAGTAAGTAATCAGCACCTCCAGCTGGCAGTTCGAAAAATCTGTGATTGGGGAAATTTCCTTTGACTGTGCTGTTTAGGTCAAAGCTGAATATATTTTACGTTCCATGCACTCAAAATCTTAATTGTTTCCACAGTGGGTCCAAAACTAGAATGTGATAATCTTCAGCACCTGACATTGGTCGTTGTTCTTATATTCCTACAAAGTAATCCTTTTAGGGGATAGGAAGATAAGTATTTATCGCCTTCTTCTATGCGTGCTTCCAGACTATGAGTCCTTATGTACAGAGGCTGTTCGCGCATTTTTAGACGATTTTGATAAGCGGTGATAAACATTCGTTTGCTGCAAAAGAAGTAATTGCAATTGTACTATGTTTTTAAAAGTCAAAATTATCGTCTGTGGCTTGAAAGTTTTGTTTTTATTCAAAATGGTGAATTTAACAAAGCAGTGGTTCGAAGGCTACATTTACGCTCTTTCCGAAGAGAAATATGCATACTCCGTTATCCAAAAACGATGTGAGAGTAATGGTTTTGTGATATCTAAAGCGACGATAGGTAATATCATCAACAAGAAAGGAAACAAACGTCAAATTGGAGACTCAAGTGGGACAAAAATTCCAAACAAGTATCCAAGGAAAAAACGGACATCTTCGACTATTGCAAAGGTACGTTGTTTAATGTTAAAGGAAATTTCCCCTAGTCAAAGGACAGTTGCAAAATTATTAAAATGCTCGGTGTCCACTGTAAACAAAGTGATAAACGTTGATTTAAATCTTAAGAAAGCGAAAAAACTCAATGTGCATCGTCTTCTTCCAAAGCATATCGCTCACCGCAGGACACGCTGCAATATTCTATATGAGAAACACTTATCCAAAGAAAAATGGAAGACAATTGTCACAATAAATGAAGCATGGGTGTATTTAAATGATTGTAACAACAAAAGAGCCATTTATTATCATAAAAGGGGAGAAAAAAATTTAAGTACATGGTTCAAAGAATCGAAAGAAAGTTTTTCAAAGGGATTCATGATTTTTGCTGGTTGTTCTTCTAATGGCAAGTTAAAAATAAAGAGAGTGCAAAACAATGTCAACATTAACTCCAGATACTATCAGGAACATATTTTATCGCCAATTGTTCTGAATGATACCATCGCTTTACCCACAGTGCCATCCATCTGTGAGACTCCATCAGGACAAAGCTAGCAGTCGCCCATCAAAATCCACTGTAAATTTCCTAAAAGAAATGGAACAAAAAACTGGTATCAAGGCCCTACCCTTCACTGATATCCCTACTAAATCTGCCGATGTGTCACCTATGGATTTTTGTGCTTTCGGACTTTTAAAAACTGCATTATCCAAACGTTGTCCCAAAACCCTAACAGGATTCTGGAAATCTGCTCGGAAGGAATGGGATAGAATATCTCTTCTGCCACTTCAAAAGGCATTATTATCCTGGAAATTGCGGTGTCGGTTTTATGAATACAATATACATCTTTGAAAAAATGTGTGAACTGTCTCTGTAACAGGCAAATGGGAGATACATGCTTCGAATTCCGGAAAAAATGCAGCTGATTTTTGAAGGAACTACTATTTTCTGCAACTCAAGATTCTTTATAAAGTATCGGTGAATCTTTTTACACCGTGAAAAATAGGGAGTTTTTTTGTCTTTCAAATTATATCCTCAGGTTTTCTAATATTGACGAAAATGACGTTGGCAATTATTTAGCCCTATGGAGGAAAACTTAAACTTTACCAACTGCAATTTATAATATAAAATACAGTCTACCACTGGTCGAACAGGAGAAATCATCATTGAACACTGGTAGCTCGACCTGGATTCGAAGATTCGAATCCTAACGAACGGCCTAACTGTATGGGTGTTTTAGTGTTCTTTGCTGTATCCACTGAGAATATGAGACAGCTCTCCTGAGAAAATTCTCTACGAAAGCATATTTCCCTTCAGGTGATAGGCCTTGGGTGTTAAGCCATTATCCAATAAACCCAATTTAAACACTGTAAAAAAGGCGAAGCGTAATGCAAGAATATCATTTCAAAATGATGCTGATAAACTCCTTTACACCGATTAATCTTTTAACGAAGATGCCAATAATAGAATTTAAAATTCATTTCCTGCATTGAATAGTTTGAAACGCAAACAAACCTGATTCTAGAAACAAGTTATGATTAAAATTTTAGATATTTATTCAATAAGCCAAGATTTAATTATCATTAAGGAGTGTTTATTTATAACAAACGTTGTTAACTCATCTTCATGTTTCTTGATGGTTGAAGCGTCTCCAAAATTTGGATGTTGGAGTCGCTGTAGATTTCTGCTTTTATACTTCTTGCAAAGGAAATGTCTAAGATTAAAAAACAATTCGGACATGGGATGAAGTACGAGTGGAATTTTTTTAAACTACACCTAATTAGTATAATAATAAGTGTTTGAGAATTTATGCATAAAACAAAGTGATAGTTGAAATTTTTAATTTTTTTCTCCGCAAATGCTGACAAAGCAGATATTAGAATTTTACTTAAACAAATAAGCGAACTTCAGTTGACATTCCAGAGCAAGGTGTGTTCACTGTTACCCTTGATCCAGATTCCAAGTCATCATGGTGCCACCTGTCTCAGAGCTTCTTCAGGAGATCATCGACAAAGGAAGCATCTGAATGGGATTTCGCATTAATCTTATCTTTTCTTTAGCAGACATCTCACTTTGAAAAGTGTTTTTAAGGATTGTAAGTGTGTTGATAATATTAACCATTTCTTAGGGCATGCAAATTGATTAGGTTTTTATGTGTTTGACTTAATGTGTTAAAGGTTTAATTTACCATTAATTTAAGGCAGAAATTTACCATCGTATTCATAGCTCGCTAAATTTCGTTAGATACAAGAATTAATAAAATATTTAAAGTTTGTGTAATCAAGTGAAATGAGGGAAGATGACTTTAATGTGCCTTAAAAAAACTATTGGTGGATTCAGTGCTTCCGGAATTTAATGTTACATTGGTGTTCTCTTTTGTTTAAGTGTTATTTTTAAAAATGTGCTTCAGCCAGTTGTGAGAATTGTGTTGAATTCGATAGTGTATATAAATGTTGCTATTAGCCTTTTCTCAGTTACACTATAATGTTCAGATTTTTCAATATACTATCAATATTCAGATTTCTTTGAAAGATGACTTACTCAATACATTTTGTCTTTTTAATTTCATTAGTTTAACATCACTTTCTTCGTACTTACGTTACATAAAATTCGAGTGCAAAATCACAAAATATTTAAAATCAACATATCTTTAGACTTTCTGACAGATATTAAGTGTTGCCATGTATTTCTTTTATGTTCGCTAATTTATTTCTTTAAAGTAAAGGATGACAATTATATTTGGGAGTAAAATCCTTTTATTTGTGTTGGCATACATTTATTTATGCTCAATACATTATTTTTTTAAATAATGCATGGTTATAACATTTAGTGATAATATCCTTTTTATCTAAAAATAAAACGGGCAAAAAATGTGAGGTTCAAAATTAATAGCGCCCCTAGTGTTAATTAATAATATGCCCATCACATAGAATCTTTACGCAATCCAGTGACAATATGCACTAATTTCATATGAATTAAAAGACATATTTGAAAGCATAAATGGTATGCAGTAAAAGTGATTTCATTCAAATCTTGTTACGTCATTTTTTCTCGTCATTTTTTTTTTTTTTTTCAGATTTTTTCCTCTGAAATTTGAAGTTTTGGATCAGTCTTTAATTTTATCGCGTAAAAACTCAAAGTTCTTGAAATACTATTTCAAAAAATGCGCTATATATTTAAAATTAAGTAAAAAAGGGACTTTAGATTGTCATAGATTAAATAAATACAAACATTACATATATTAAGAAGGAAAATATGAACGTTTTCAGATTGTAAATTAGCAGTAGATGGTTTGCCAAAATTTTTTATGCTCTCGCAGAACTCAACAGTTTACCAGTGTGCTCATGGACTCACTCGTGCTAATTTTTCTTATTAGTCTAAAGGATGGTAGCCTAAAAATTCTATTAATTCAGTTTCGGAATTTTCCGTTGAAAACTTTAAATATCTGCTTCACTTTTGAAATTGTTGCCAGCAAATATTATCGCCCAGGGTTACATTTAAAGAAATTAAGTAATGAAGAATTTCCATAAATGTATTTGTGTTTCTCGCATTGTGATAACAATCATACCTAGAGCCATCCGATTTTGAATAACGTAATCCTCTACCAAATATGGGCATCTGGAAGAACTGATTTGGAATTTGTTTTGTTATCGATTTCATATTTTATAACACGTTAAGGAATTTAGGATTAAGAAACTCAACGATTTCAAAGCGAGAAATGGCAACACTGTACTGGGAAAAAAATTATCTCCAATGCGCGAGACTGTGTACCGGAAATTCTAAAGATATGCTCATTTTGAAATTATTTTGCAATATTGCTGTTGAACTGAATTTTATGGTTTAAGTGCGAAGAACATTGGAATTTAACAAATAAAGGTAACACACAAAACGTTAAAAAAATTCTCCTTTGGACATAATTTAAATTCTGAAACATTTCAGATTTTTTTTTTTTTTTTTTTTTTTTTTTTTTTTTTTGTTTAGCCCAAAAGAGTTGTTAGCCCACAAGGGCTATTAATTTCATTTTGTAATTTTGCGTTGGTTCAATATAAATGTCAATGCACTTTTCAAATCGTTGCCACCGAATATTAGAGTCCTGTGATATATTTAGAGAAATTAAATAATGAAGAATCTGCATAACTGCCTGTATGTTTCTCACCACCTAGAGACATCAGTTTAAGTATGAATAACATGATATTTAGTAAATAAAGGTAACACACAAAACGTAAAAGAAAACGCTCCTTTGGGCGTAATGTAAAATCTGAAACCTTTCAGTTTTACTCTAAGTTTCTTCCCAGTTCTTCATTTGAATGCTCAAATTTTAAAGTGAGATCAGATACACGCTTTTTTTTTATCTTTTTAACTTTGTTATCAAGTAACTTTGTAACTTTGCTAGTATATCATTTCCCTTTCAAGCCATATTATAAGATATTTCTCCCGCCTTTCTAGCGTGCCTTCGTGGTGTAGTGGTTCTGCACGCTGGGCCGGTATTTCAGAGGTCCGTGGTTCGAAGGTGCTTACTCATTTTTTCATCTTGCTTGCTTCCAAAAAATACCTAATGTCTTTGCAATATGACACCCCACAGCAAAATCGCGATATATATTTAAGAATATCTTAGCTTTAGTGTTTCCGATGGAGTGTTAAATGCCGTCATATTTTTTTATTACTTTTGCTGTGTTATTTCTTTACATGCTGTATTTTTCCCTCTTACATAATATTACATGATTATAACATGGCACCATCATGTTATTTGAAAGGTAATGCGATCACAAAATGATATGCCACAAAAGTGATGCAAAACAGAAATGTGAGGATCTGGACAAAAAACACCTCTGATACTAAAAATTCTACTGATTTCTATAGAGATCGGACACAGTTCCCTCTTCTTCAAAAACAAAATCTTTTTGCAAAGGTTTATTTTGCGAAGGAGCAATAACCGTATTTATAAGGTAATCAGTAGGCAAGCCTATTACCATTTCTCAAGGAAAACAGTAATGAGAGGGGAAGAAAGTTATGTTATTACACTGTGTTCCACTCCAAAGGGCTCCAATGAAAGTGTGATAGAAAATTTATAACAAGGTTAAATGAAACCAAATTTTTACGTGGTATGCCTTTATGTTTGAGAAATGAAAGTACATTACAAGAGGTGCTGAAAGTAAGGATAACCAACATGTAGTCATCGAAGAACGCCTTCATTCACCTTAATTGGGCGTGTTATGAGCATTATCAGAGTGACGCATCATCGGAGCACATTACTGGCATTACTATCACCAACAAGGTTATTGGCTTCCCCGAGCCCCGTGAACTAAATCACACTACGGGTCTACTCCCCCTTTGGGCACTTCGTGGAGGTTCACCCTCCACTATTACCCTTCCAGGGGAGCAGTGCACCACCTGAATATGACACCAGGCAGCACTGGTCGTCAATTGCTCCTGCCAGTCGCATGGGCGAGCCCGTCGCAGTGGGCCGTTACCCAGCACACCGAGGGGAACTAGGCCTCCGGCTACGGTTCCACACCGCTCAGGACATGCCAGACCCCGAGGCCAGCCAATAAGTGACCTTTCCCAGGGCTTTCAGAACCACCAAGTTCATAAATTTTACACCCCCGCGGCCGCATTACTATCACCAGTGATATGTACCAGGTACTGTTTCCTGAGTTTATGAACCAGTTGGATGATACTCAACTGTCATTTGGCTGGTGCCATCAAGATTGGCCAACGTGCCGCACGTCTACAGCGAGTATGACTGCGGTGGAATCCTTTTTCCAGACTTCACCCTTCTTGACGTTTGTCTATGGGGTCTGTGCTTACAAACTCAAACCATGCACCATCGACAAATTATGACAAGAAAACTGCACAACTGCTGACAGAGTGTTGGGCATGACGCCCAACCCTCTGTCAGCAGTATGCAGTGCCGTGTGAAACTGTGTGTACAGATAGGCAAAATAACTTTCAGCACCTCTTGTAACGCACTTTCATTTCTCAAACAGAAAGGTAAATCCATGTAAAATTTGGTTTTATTTTTTCTTGTTATAAGATTTTTATTACACTTTTCCTGGTGCCCCTTTCGAATGGGACACCCTGTAGAACAGGTGCTGTGTAAGCTTACGAGAGAAAAGGGAGAACCATTTTTCTGGTTAGGACCATTTTTCGAGGAAATGAGGGAA